AAAAACTGGTTGATTATTAGATGATACAATGCTTTACATTTCCCTTCATTTGTGAAATTAAAGAGTCTGTCATGCAGTTTGTCAATTCAGGACACATTTGCTAAAAATTACACAATCAATTGCATGAATGTACCAAAGCTTTTGCAACTTATTCAAAAGAATGAAAAATTGATTTTATGATGTGCACAAGTAAGTAGATGATGTGGAGGCTGAACAAGTAGTTTTAAGAATTTCAGTTATGATCTGAGAAAGTTGTGATCTGTGATCTAAGACTATTCAACAGAGAACCAGTATAATATTTTTTTAATCAACATGAAATAAGCAACTGATAATGCAGGAAACAGCAGAAAACTGTACATAATCAATTACATTAATGTACCAAAGCATTGTAAATTTGTTACATTAATGTACCAAAGCAGTGTACATTTCTTCAAAAGATTGAGAAATTACTTTTATGATGTGCTCAATTGACTAGATTATGTGGAGGTTGAACAAGTAGTTTTGAGAATTTCATTTCTGAGAAATGTATACCAAAGTGACTGAAAAACTGTAATTAAGAAAGTTTTCACAGAATTTATATGATTCATGTCATAGTAAAGGTTAGTTACCCATTTTTCTTTTCATAAAACTTGCATTTGATCAGTCCTCAGTACTCTGATCAAATGTAAATTTGCATTACACTCTGATGAATGTATTAAAGATAAAGGTATAAAACTTAATACGCCCTGGCTTATTCCTACTTCTGTGGGATTTTGGAGGGCACTCAACTATTTCACCCAGCATTCTAGCTGCTATTCTAACCTCAGCAAGTTCAGATTTAGCTGCCTGGGCTAGACTGGAACAGCTAGCACAGCCCCTGGCACTGGAGAGCAGTGGGTGGCTTTGGAGAGTGGGTCTGCCTCTGGAGCCCAGAGCATGCTGTTATCCACCCTAAATGCATAAATAGAGTATAAATAGAGAGGTTTGGTTAGCAGGCCCACAGGCAATGCGAACTCTTTCTTAATCTCAGGTTTAGGAATTATTATAAAGAAAAGGACAGATAGACTAAAAGAAAGGAGAAAAGACAGTAGTGTAAAGAAGAGTATAGCTAATCAGTGTAATACTTGGTGTTACACAATGATGTTGACAATGCCAAAGCAAAATTTTGTGTCCACAACCATCATATAAATCAGCAAAGGTGTTACTTTGTTTGTTTGTTTAGGTGCTAATTTTGGTGATTATTATGTACAATGGCGTGCATTTGTGTACTTACGTATGTCATATGTGTGTCATAATTTAGTGTGCCTGTCAGTCCTGTCCATTCCATTCTATAGCCATCAATCTGCCTGTTTTAACAGTTATGTTCTGTTTCTGTGTTCACATTTCATTGAGTTCCCTTGTCTATTAGTTGCCATGGTTTTTGATTAATTAGCTCCACACCTGTTTCAGTTCTCCCTAATTACTTGTCTAGTATTTAAGTCCTGTGTTCTCCTCGGTTCCTTTGTCTGCTATTATTTGTGTCTATGTGTTGTGCTAACCCAGCTCCTGGATTCCTTGTGTTTTCCCTTAGGATTTATATGGTGGCTGAGAGAGCACAACGCGCTGCAAATGAAAAAAACGCCTGCAAATTAAGAAAATATCTTCATCAATTTGACAACATACGCACTGCAAATTCTCACAACACAACCAAATACAGAAACGCACTGCAAATTCTCACAACACAACCAAATAAAGAAATGCGCTGCAAATTCTCACAACACAACCAAATACAGAAATGCGCTGCAAATTCTCACAACACCACCAAAAACAGTCCACACATGTAGAATGTAGAATCCTGCTTGTTGTGGCCTGTTCTGTATTTGGTTGTGTTGTGATAATTTGCAGCGCATTTCTGCATTTGTGAGTATTTGCAGCACGTTTCTGTGTTTGGTTGTGTTGTAAGAATTTGCAGTGTTGTGTTGTAAGTAATTGTATTTCTCCTGCGTCGTGCGCCTTGTTTAGCACAGCACCGTGACAGAATAGCAGACAAAATAATGGAGTGGGCAGCGAGTTTCACCGCCGTGGCTCGGGAAAGCCACAATTTTTTTCTTTTACTTTTCGTTTTACCAGTCTCGCCGCACAAAGCCCCTTTGATAACGAGACCCGGAAGTCTCTGTTTTGGATCGGGCCAAATTTCCATCACCCCATTGACCTCCCAGACACCACGGGAGTGAGCTGGAGGGAGGCGATCATCCGGTGTCTGGAGAGTGTCAGCCCCCGATCCAGAACACATCATGACCCAGAGCCCAGCCAAACAGCACCCCGCTGCACGGAGAACTCGCCAGAGCTCACCGTGATAAAAGAGTCAGCGCTGGAAAGAGCGACAAAGTTTAACATCGCCCCGCAACCCAAGCACGAGAATGCAACTGACCAGGTTGTGTGAGCCGGCAACACCAAGTATCGCCATGGGAGTCTTCGTGGAGATCGAGGGCTTGGAGAGAAGCCCCACCCACACTCCCGATGCTGAGTGTGAGCTGCAACTGGCCTCTGGGAGCGATTATGAGGAACTAATGGACTGTTTTAAAGAGGACTTAATTGACTGGGTTGGGGAGGTAATTCCCCATGTTCCTACGTCCCCTGAGCCCCCCGCTGGTTCTGTCTCTGTCTCACAGTTCTCCTGTGTCTCCTAACCTCCCAGTGACTCTTCAGCTCCCACCCAGCCTCCCTCTCCCGCCTCCTCTTATGCCAGCCAGTTCCTCAGCCCTGTCTCCGCTGGTTCCTGCCAGCCCCTCAGCTCACCCTCAGTCAGTGCCATCTGGGCGATCTGATCCACCTCGGGCATTCCAGTCACCAGCTCCGCATAGACGTGAGGATCCCGTCTCTGCCTCCAGTCTCCAAGTCCTGTACTCCACCTCAGTCCTCCGATTCATCGGCTCCGCCTTGGCTCCTAGCTCCCTTGTCTCCACCGTAGCCCATCATCCCACTGGCTCCACTGGGTTCCCTCGTCCCTCCGGCTCCGCCTTGGTCAGTCCTCGACCATCCATCGCCTCGGGACTCCACTCTTCCGGGTCCTCGTCTCCGCCTCGGTTGCCTGAGCCGTCAGCTCTGCCTTGACCCTCCCGACCTCGGGTGTCGCCCTGGCTCTCCGTCTGCTCGGTTCCACCTGGATCTCCACCTCCAGTGACTCTGTCTCCTTCGCTCGTCCCCAGGGTGTCGTTGAAGCCTTCTCCACCATGGCTCCTCCCTCCCTCGACTCCACCTTGGAGCCTCATCCTGGCTGGTCTCTTGACTAATACCTGGCTCCTCCTGCTCCTGGTTCCTCCCTCCATCTTTTCCCAGTTCCTATCTTTCTCCTGCTCCACGCCCCCCTCCAGAGCCCCCACCTTCCCTCCTCAGTTGGATTTCTTTAGGCGCGAGGACACGCCTTCCAGGAGGGGGGCGAACTGTAACGGTTATGTTCTGTTTCTGTGTTCACATTTCCCGGAGTTCCCTTGTCTATTAGTTCCCATGGTTTTTGATTAATTAGCTCCACACCTGTTTCTCAGTTTCTCCCTAATTATGTTTCTAGTATTTAAGTCCTTTGTTCCTTTGTCTGCTATTATTTGTGTCTACGTGTTGTGCTACCCCAGCTCCTGGATTCCTTGTGTTTTCCCTGTGGATTTACCATTAAAGACTGTTGATTGTATTTCTCCTGCATCGTGTGCCTTGTTTAGCACAGCACCGTGACACCTGTCTGTTCTTCCATCATTATACAAGTATACTCTAGAGGAGGGATTCTCAACTCTGGCCCTCGAGGTCCAATTTCCTGCAGAGTTTAGCTCCAACCCTAATCAAGAACATCTGAACAAGCTCATTAAGGTCTTCAGGATTACTAGAAAGTTACTGGCAAGAGAGTTTGATCAAGGTTGGAGCTAAACTCTGAAGGAAAGTGGACCTGTTGGCCAGAGTTGAGAACGCCTGCTCTAGAGGGTCTGCATATTTGAAAAACATATACGTGTACACCCATGGTGACTGAGCAGCCCCATTTGATATTTGCTTACTGGTAGGGTCCATAATGAACCAGTAAACAAATATCAAATGGCCCTCATTCATGAAACTTTTTTGAAAGTCATAAATATATGAGTAAATTCTGAGTAATTTGCATGTAAAATGGACCTTCCTGAAACCTCTCCGTAGGATTAACAAAGGTATCATAAACCTCAGACTTGATAATTAAATGTATGTTAATGAATTCCAGTATTTCCTAAATAGGGTGCACATGCACACTCATTCACAATTAGCATAATCCCTGCCCAAGAATTAAAATTATGTAAATATGTATACAAGAATGTTGTGTGACCTTTGGACACCCTTCTCCAGTTTGACTGGAGTATGTTGCGTGATATATTGCATGGTATATTGCAAATGCAAAAGAGACTAATTGGCCATATTTGGCCAATGGCTCAACTCTACTAACATAATTTAACTATTTATACTAAACCTTTCACTGATTGTCTCTTTACACTCATAAACTGTGCAAAGCATCGTGAGGCCTATAGGAAGAGTGTTGATACTTAAAATTGATCTGCTCTCTTCAAATAAGTGCAAATCTCACAACAAATACTTAACATTTGACGCTTCAAACTTCTACAATTTCCTTTATATTATTTTCTTTGCAGTAGTAGTTTCTTTCAGTGGCGGCGTTATTACAACTGTGAAATTACAAACAAAATATACACATTCTGAGACATGAACTGAAATGAATTGTGAATTTTATTAACATTAAATCATCCTCCTCCTATTTTCACCTCAAAATTATGGGGAAGCTGTGCCTCCCCTGCCTCCCCCGATGAGCCGCCACTGGTTTCTTTACAGGAGAGCAAAACACTGATCTATAATATATCAATGGAGCAAAAATAAATTATAGTACTATTCAACTGAAACATACTCGCGCACAACAGTGTGCCAGTTGATTTGGTCTATCCATGATGGACAATGCTTGATGATGGAACTGTGTCTTTAAGAGAGACATTTAGTAGGCGTGTGTAGTGCTTGGACTGATGGTGAGACATGAGCCGCTCCGCGCAGTTCACTTACTGGTACGTCTGGAGTCAGAGCGCTAAACTGACGGTGTCAGCGCAAACGGATTACAATTTGGACAACGGGTTTTTCTCAAAGATGAAGATGTACGGTAAGTAACGATGCCTAAATGAGCACTATTGATTTGTGCAAGCTGTATAATGATTACGACAGCTCTGCTGACATTACAGGGACATTGCTGACATTACGTATTTCACAGCATTACTTAATCTGTGCAGGTTATTTGGACCTGTCCAAATTTCACTTCTCTAGATATAGATATTATTATGTAAGAAACCTTACATAAAATCACGTCAAGCTTCAGCTTTTTAAATGTAGCTGTATTTTGTTACGTAAATGTTATATGTGGTCGTAGATAAATGCGGTCTGTTGTGGTTCGTTTGCCAGTTGCAAATCCCTGCAGGGTTTTGGGAATAATATGTGAAATTAAAGATAACGCTTGGTAAATGGCGTTCATTCAGCCGTCATGGCAGTCAATGAGTAATTATTTTTGTGGATAAGAACGTTATCCTTTCACTTACGTCTATGACAATTGTGTATCCAAATGTGATTATAAACACTTATTATTATTCACAATTTTATTGCATTTATTATGCAATTTCAGTAAGGGTGTTTTGCCGGTGTTGTATAGCGTAGCCTCTGTCTATATATATTTTTTCGTGGCGAGTAGAAGCCGCTGTTTCTCTCTTTCCACATAGGGAAAGTTTATGCTATTTTAATTTTCTCTGACCAAATACACTATAATACTCATATAATATTTTTTGTTTGTTTGTTTACATCATTATGCTCATATATTGGCAACAGTTTTTTTAATAATTAAAAATAAATAAAGTGAAAAGTATTCTAAATTGCACCTTTTATGTTCACGCAAAGTCTTTTGTTTGCATAGTTGCTGCATCACTTACTTGGAATACGTCAGGTTTTGATAATGAAAGCATCTGGCAGTTGCTTTGATTGTTTGTGTTCTTGGTATGCCAACTGCTGCTGAAGTATTAAATGTTAAAATGTTAAACTTTGAAAAACTCTGTGAACTCACTGTTGATGTCCTACAGAACACCAGTTTTGCACGCACGTGGCTTGCTGTCTTGATTGAAAATGTGAATTATATGCACTTTATACTATTCCATTACTGTGAGATTAATGATGCAATGTAAACAGAAAAGGGACGTTAATAAGACTAAGACAATTGAGCCTATAGATGCAATGTCATTAAGACAGTTGTTGCATTAAAAACATACCTGCCACATCTGTAGTTGGCTCTTCCTCTTCTTCTTCTTCTTTTTTTTGTATCAAGTGTATCAAGGTACACTCTAAAAAATGCTGGGTTGTTTCAACCCAACTTTGGGTAAAATATGGACTAACCCAACCGTTGGGTTACATTTTTACATTAAATTTTTAACCCAAAAGTTGGGTTAGTCCATATTTGACCCAAAGTTGGGTTGAAACAACCTAGCATTTTTTAGAGTGTATTTTCAAGATTTTGGGACCATTTCTTTGAGGTACTTTGAAGTACATGTAAATACTATTATAAGTTAATATAGTAGTCATTCTGTACAACTGAATATGTCAAAGTAATATTATATTACCATATAGCCTAATATCACAATACCTAAATTATTTGAACCATGTTCTTATGTTTCTGTGCATACTTTAGTCACTACCTGTTGAAAAAAACCCCCAGCATATGCTGGTTAGGCATGTTTTGAAGCATGGCAACTGATTTGAGCTGGTCCTTTGATCGTCCTTAGCTGGTCATGAGCTGGTTTAAGCTGGTAATGTGCTGGTCCTAAGCAACTAGCTTCTGCTTATAACCAGCTCACAACCAGTTTATTACCAGCTCAGGACCAGCTTAAACCAGCTCAAACCAGCTGCCATGCTTCAAAACATACCTTGCTATGTGTACTGCGTTAGACTATCCAGGACTTGTCACAGCACTTATACATATAGTTGCTCTTTTGTTGGTTTAATTGCTAGTATTGTCCATATTTGTAAATTGATTTGGATTAAAGCATCTGCTAAATTATTAAATGTAAATGTAATGTAAAAAGCATGGTTGTGGCCACACTTTACAGACCTTTTTGCTCTGTCTTTAGCTTTCATTCATTCCCTCTGTAATTCTGCTGGGCAGCTCACCAGTTTTGTTAAGTGTATAGTGGCTTTGTGGACGTTATTGGCATCGCTCCTCTGAGGTCTGTCAATAATTTGCAACTCGGCACAATATACAGTATCTCTACACTGCTCTCTACCAATCACAGCTTGTAGTTACAATCCCCTGTGCCCAGCTGGCGTGTGTTAGACGAAGAGAGTTGACTGCTGGAAAATCTGGAAGCGTTTATTAATAGGATCCAAGCCTCTGTGCTAGAAACTCACTGGATGCCTTTGTTTCCTCACCCCCGGTCGCCTGCCTGCTTTACGATGGCCTGTGCACATTGTATGTTAGTGGTACAGTGTAGTCATTCTTGGCATGTTACAGTTGCAGTGAGCAAAGGTAGTGGTGCTGGTGTTTATAACTCTTGCGGCTAGGGCTGGCGCAATACCACTTTTTCAGAACCGATACCGATCCGATACCAAAAATTCTGAGTATATGCCGATACCGATATTGATCCGATACCAGCACAGTTTTTTAAAATCAGTGTAGAATTTCTATACCTCAATGTGTAGGTCGATCATCACTCTTTTGTATGTTACACACAATCTACTAAATATAAACAGCTTCATTATAAAGAAAAATAACAAACAAAAAATATGTAATCATAATCTATGACAAAAATACTATTATAAACTAGGTTAATGGATAATTCAGTAGCAAAAGTTAAGAAAAATAATGAGTGCACAATTTTATAAAATCCTAAACTTTTAGTGAAAAAAAATGTTATTTAGTGGGTAACAAATAAAAGTGAATAAGTGTAGGACTAAATCTGGTAGGCCTACACATTGCTCTTTGTAAAATACATTTATGAAAAACAAGTAATACATTTATATATACGTATATACTATAGTAGTCAACATTTGAAGTGGATCAAAACCTTTCATCAAAGTTGTCCTAAAACCAAAACAATACCCGTTCTTGTCTTAAGACAACTTTGATTAACTTTCTTGATCCACTTCAAATGTTGACTACTGTATAAATTTAAAGACATTTATTTTAAATGTAATTGATAAGATGAACAAGAAAGGCTATTAATAATCTTTCATTGCGCAAAAATATTATAATACTAAAGGCTACAGAGCGACACAAAGCGCTTATGTGCATCCCGTGTGCAGAATGATGCGCTTGAAGCAACACGGTGTCACAGCGCGCAGCCCTCCGCATAGAGAGTTCAAAGCACAAAGTGAAGAGATATTGATGCGTAGTGTATTAAATATGTGCGTTAGTTTATTGAGCCTTTTTACTTTTAACAGTTTTAAATTTCAGTTACTGTGCTCGTGAAGAACAATTCATAGTGCTCTGTACTCCAGTCTTGTGATCTAACCAGATATCCCGAGAGAGTTTCATCGTCTTGACTGTTATAACTGAACGCGAAACGCAATTTGAATGCTGAATGGAGGATGACTGACAGCCGCAGCATAGAGAAGAGTTTACGTGAACTTGACTTAAATATTCATCTGTACCTCACATTAAACAGTGAGACGGCTTCAGAACACTTAAAATATAGTGCACAAAAACTTTATTGTGCTTTATAATGTTTATGTGGATTTCGTGAGGCTTAATAATAACACAGAATAGTATACGCACTAGGGATGTAACGGTATGAAAATTTCTTATCACGATTATAATGATCAAAATGATCATGCTATCAGTATTATCACGGTATTGTTTAAATGTGCTGGAAATGTTCAAAAAGTACTGACACACAAATCAGTTACATTTAAAATCAACAAACAACAAATAAAATTAGTTTTTGTTTACATAACTAAAACAATAACATTGTCAATGATGTCTGGATTTTAAATGACAACATGACTGACAACAGTTTATCTAATAGCATGTTCAAATATCTAATGTAAATGTTCAAATAAAACTTTCATAAGCAAGTTTCATAAATGGTAAACCTCACATTTCAGCTTTTAAATAAAGAAAAGGGTCAAAATGTGAAAATGATAATTGATTAATAAATGATTATATGTATTTTATCTGCTCCATAAATAATACATACCTTATTGTTTAAATGTGTAAAATCCACATAAGCTTATTTTTCATCAACCGGTCAAAATTTATAGCAGGGCATGTTATAAGCCGGGCTTTGGGTGCTTTCACTTTCGAATTTGCGATCTTGTTGTCACGTTTTACAAGAAAAGCTCATTGTCTGATTTGCTTACATGATACATCTACACACCTTTCACTTTTTAAGACTAAAACAAAAGATGGATTAATTGTTATTCTTAATTAAAAAGCATTACAACAGTAAAACAGTAAGATACAATGACAAACTAGCTTACAAAAACGAATAAGACGAGGCATTGCATACACCACATACTGTATTATATACTGACTAATAAATTACAGAACGTTTAGCAAACACTGAGGAATCCAATAAATAAAAAAGAGAGACTCCATAGCATAACGTGAGGTAAACAGCAAAGATAGCAAGCTTTTCCAAATGAAAACAAAAAGAAAAGTAAAACTAAACTTGCTTTCGGTGACAGTGCTTGCATGTTTTTCCCCCCCACAAGAATACCAACATGTTCACCTTTGGTTTAAGAAGCGGTCTTTTACTTTACTTTAGCATGAAACCCCATCCATCGTTTCCTCAATATTCGTGTCATTTTTGCTGCGCGCAGCTTCGTGCTCGTGCTGACGTGGCGAGTATAAACCAGGCTCTACACTCTATAAGCATTGCGCAGCTCAAACGAGTAGCGCGGTTTCGTTATGCTTTCAGTTTCTTTTGCCGTTTGATGTTTCTCATATGGAACTGAAATGGCATTGCTTATGAGTTAAACAATGTGGTGGTCGCACACACAAAATTTAGTCACACCGGCAGAAAAAATTATCGCAAAATGCACCCATTTGGTCGCACTCTGGAGCCCTGTGCTGGACAGTATTTATTTATCCTCAGTGGTTCAAATCACGGTAATCGAATACGGTTATAG